GCACTAGGCAGGGGTATACTGCGGTACCAATGTCGCTAAAGGGACAGGGTGAGGGCCAGTTCCCGGCGGTATCCATGGGCGGGGAGGATACATCGATACGTCAGGGGGTTGAATATGGGCATGCGGTGGGACAGCGGTGGGACCAATGGGACTACCACTCAGGACTCCAACCACCTGAATGAGTCCACTGATTTCCTGTAAGGCGTTTGTTCAGGCCCTCCTCTCGCAGAAGAGGTGACCGCAAAAAGAAATATTTGGTGTAATTGTAGCTGAATTGAGGATATGATCGACGGATCTGGCGGGCCCTTGGAAGGTGGATGGGAGGCTAGAGTTTCTGAAACCGCGCGAACTGCATCGTATCTGGCTCTGTAAATACCATATGCAAAAGTTGGCCGTTTGAAAGCTCGTGGTTCATTCCTCTGCCGTTCTTCTTCGGTCTCGTCGCGTTTCCTCTTGCCTTTGTCTGTAGTGCGGGCGCATTGGAATGACGCATTGCGGCAAAAAGAGTGTCGGAGCGAGCCAAAGATACAAGGGTCATGCTGAGTGATTTTGCGAGGTCTTTGGAAATTGTCCCAGCGGCAACTGTGTGACTGAGTATTCCAGAACGCTGTTGCCTGCACCAGGAACGACTGCAGACGCTAGAGTTGAGTGAACCAGAGGATCCTTTCCCAATGTTCAGCACGTTCCCCATTGTCTTCAAGGCGGCCTCTTCCTTCTTGGACAACGTAGATGATGGGAAGGTGGTTGTGTGATTGGGACTGGAGAAGGAACCGCAGACGGACACCATCATGTAGTGGTGCACTAGGAGTTGACGCCGTTGTAGTGATGTTTACGCGGTCTGCCTGTGCCTTGCTAATATCTGCCCATAGTTGTTCTTTCAACCGACGCGCAATTTCCTCCGCTTCCTCTTCTCCGTCATCGTAGTCATCGTCATCATAATTTTCATCCTCTTCAACCCATTCATCTACCTCCTCATCTCCAATATGCTTAATAGTCGAGTTCGCTGTCGTGTCAGTTTCGTTGGATCTAGGTTCAGTCATGAGTACTGAGTACTGGGTACTGGGATGAGATTCTTAATAGAAGGTTATAAGTATAGTCTTGATTATGATCGGGTGCAGACCGGAGCAAGTAGTTATATACTGAACTTCATCGATTCATCATCAACGTAGCCAACCATCCATCTTATTGACCTGGTGGAACCAAGTATCACACTTGTTATGTTGTATCTCAACGTATCATATTCGTGGCAATGAGCTGGCTAGTAAGTTAGGTTACGTCCGCGCTAGTAGTCGGCAATTACTCTTTTGTGTCAAACTCCGCGATTTGTACAACTATCACTGCCTGCCAGCTGGTTATCTCAAGGTTCCAACATTTCAAACTCGCACTTGAGGTTAATTTTCCCTCAGGAATAGCCAGTGGCAAATGTCGAACACGATCAAGGACCTTGCGGCTGGAACGGCTGGAGGAATAGCTCAGGTATGTATGAAATAGGCTCAGTGCTACGTATTGACTCAACTCGCGTACTAGGTCCTTGTTGGACAACCCTTCGACATCGTGAAAGTGGTGAGAGTGGCTATAAAATACGAGCAAGGATACTTGCATACCCATTATGACTCTCCCTCAGCGCATGCAAACTTCGGCGAAGGGCACTTACAGTGGCATGCTGCATTGCGCTGGCGGTATCTTGAAAAATGAAGGGCCTCTGGCATTCTATAAGGTAATGTTCTTATCGCTCTACGCTATTCTTTCTCACATTCTGTTAGGGCACATTAACACCATTGCTGGGAATTGGTGTCTGCGTATCAATACAATTTGGAGTACTCGAGTATGCAAAACGGATATTTACGGCTCAAAACCTAGCTAGAGGTGAAGGAGGAGAAGAAGGAAAGATGCTTAGTGGGGGGCAGCTGGTCATTGCTGGAGTAGGGGCAGGGCTTGCTAATGGTGTAGTTTCCGGTCCAGTGGAACACATTCGCATTCGTGAGTCCCCTGTGTTACGTGTATGACTAGTATCTGGCTTTTAACCTCTTCTTTAGGTCTGCAGACGCAGTCAAACACGAATCCAATATACAAAGGTCCATTTAACGCAATGAGACAAATTGTCTCACAACATGGCATTCCCGGACTGTTCAAAGGACAGGCTGTCACCTTTCTACGTGAAGCGACAGGCTACGGCGTCTACTTCTTGGCATACGAAAAGCTTGTACAACGCGAAATGACCCAGAAGGGTATACGACGGGACCAGATTAACCCTATGAACTCCGTTTTGTACGGGGCAGCAGCTGGCTACGCTGTAAGTCCTATCCCCTCTGCCCAGTGCATGTTCGCGTGTGCATCGAGCTAATTCTGCGACAGCTTTGGGCGGTGATATACCCTATAGACATGATCAAATCTAGAATGCAGACTGACGGATTTACTCCTTCTACTGGGCAAAAATATGCTTCGGCACGGGATTGTGTGCGGAAAGTTTGGAGAACTGAGGGAATTGGCGCATTTACACGTGGTCTGGGGCCCACTTTGATTCGGTACGTATCTGATTTCTCAGAAATGTTTCACAAACTCATTGCTCATTAGTTCACCATTTGCGAATGGGGCGACGTTCCTTGGATTTGAGATGGCTAGTAGACTGCTGTATTCATAGTTATCGAGGATTCAACTCCCGCATGTCAATGCGAAACGCTCCCTATGGTGAATCAGTCCGCTTATATTCTCATATTTTAGATCGCACTAGATCAACAATGTGCAGACACGAGTTTCCTTGCGTCCATATTTCAGTCCGCTACGGTGTGGCACGGGGGTACAAACTAATTGACGATCACAATAACCAACGCAGTGAAACAGTGCACGCAAATGTCGTGAGTAAGGCTGTACCTACCACACAGAGGAGACAACTATTGTCAGCTCGATGTCAGTCTAAACTTCTCGACAACTCCAACGTTGATGAGATATGGTATTCAGTAAGTGCCAACTCCTCGACAAGCTAGATAACATGTGATGCTTACGATACGCCGGATAGACCAAAACCACTTGGGTTGTTACCAGTTACGTGTCCTAGTCTCGGACATCTCATTGATCATTTCTCGACTTTCACTCGGGAATAATACATAGGAGTTGCGCGGGCTGTGTCAAATCGGCCGATCGCAAATATTGTGTACGAGATCTGTTGCGCGTATACTCATCTGTAACTCTGATTGTGCACCGAAACTGCTCGTTTTCAAACATTTGAGGGCCACCAGGCATGATTTCTCTCGCGTCATCTTACCAGCCCCTTTCGCCATCGATCATTGCGGTCAATGCAGCGACGCTCAGCGAGTCAAGTGTTCGCATATGGATGACACTCAATGTTTGCAGAGCCTTACTCAAGATGGATAGCGCTATGCGTCGAATTATCATTCGCGTGTTTATTCTCCTTCTGTTTGTGAGGATGTAGATTTTCCGCCTGTTCGCACGTTCGAAGAGAAGTTGGTCATTATTAAGTAATGGCAACATGAAATGAGCGCGGACGTTCAACGCAGAGGCGCGTTTGTACTCATAACGTCGCTACGCGCGACCTTAGGAGTATCCATCCTCGCAAGTTTCCCCTGCATTTGCTGCGAAACGATTGTTTGCCGAAGCAAACATTGCTATCGAGCTATGACCTTGAATTGTATGAGAGAGGAAGCAATATCGTGGACTGCATGTGGGAGCGCGACAATGACAAACAAGGAAGAGTGAAGAACGGAGATATAAAAAATTTGACCCACCATATAGCGCAAATCCTGGAAGGGTGCTGGAATGCCCGGAGGGCCGTTGCTACACAACTTCCAGTCTTCACAAGCCCCTGTCTACGGGTTCCTGACAAATTTAGTTTGGAGGGAACCTTAATAAGCGAGGTAACGCGGAGAGATTGTGAATGTCGCGGAACGTCAAAAGCAGATTTGGTGGTAAACATTATCATTGAGACTTGAGCGCACAGTATTCGTTGACTACTATTCGACGTCATCGGAATCTTACGAACATTGTATGCGCCGTATCACGGAAAGTCTAGTGTATCCCCAACGAAAACCACTGCAAGTCAAAGCCATGATATTTTTTTTTCAATCCTGATTCGAGACATGTATACAAGCAAATATTCAATAATTGATGGTGTCAATGGCGAGGAGCTAATGTGTGTGATGAATAACGTTATGGCATGATCAGGTTGAAAGCACAAACATGATCCTTGATTATGCGACCCGCCGCGATTAAGAGTCGGCGATTGAATAGCTGATCTCGAGGCAACGTAGCTGTTATTGAAGATGAAGTAATTATTGCCAGATCTCTGCCCCGAGGATGCTCCAGAGAAACGAGAGCCGGCTGATGATGCGGCCTCGCTACCGGGGGTTCCAGAATCAAAAGCTGTATGGTATTCAGTATCTGCACCTAGCAAAGACATCAGCACAAGGGCTATCGGGATATATGATCCGAGTCTTACATTCTTCCACTTGTTGATCATCTCCAAAAGGATTGCCGTCAGGAAGGAGACTAATCTGAGAAGCGATGAAATCGACCGCGTCAGTGAACGACCTAGCCGTGGATTCATCTAGTGGCGATTCCAGTGGAACTGCGATGGCGCTGATGCGAGCGTCAGATGGTACGTCGTCATCTGCAGTCAGCTCGTGAGTTATGTACATCGAGAGGCATGAGTTTGGACAGACACTCGACTGGTTGAACATCTTGTCTGTTTGCGGAAAGTAGCCGCCTCCTCAGCTCTTCAGATGAGCTCTAGCCAATTATTAGGGTATGCTGCGAACAATTAAGGTAGCACAATCATACCCTGGTTTGCCTATATAAATCATTGGCTGCTGCTGCGAGTAGTCGAAGGGAACGATATCTCGAGATCAATTTCCAAGGCTGGAAGGTTGTATTTTTGTTTTCCAGCTCTTTTCTCCCCGACTGTAACCTTCAACGCTGTTCAGTAACTTGCCAATAGTATGACACATGAAGCATACCTATCATATTCCTTCTTAGCATTCGCAAAGATCGTTTCCAACTCCGTCAAATTCCCTGCCATGTCACGTATCTTAAATAATTCATCCAATGTAGCTTCAAGAACTATATCCACTTGATCTAGGTTGTCACTGCGTTTCATTTTCATCAGAGGGAACATCGATCGATCATATTGAGAAGGGGAGCCAAGGTTCATGGGAATGAGAATAGTTTGGCGCTCTTGCTCGGAGGACATCGTTGGCGAGAAATAGAATCAAAGACCATGGCCTATAGAAGGTCTTATGTATGAGCAGAGATGTCGTGGAAATCCAACAAGGGAATAGTCAATTACTTGAATATGTGAAATATCTAGCATACTAGTAACTAGGGGGTCGACTGGAACTATGATTTTTATTTATGTACTTGCCATATCGAACTTGAATGGGTCCTTGTGTACACTTGTTTATGCTGAAGCGATTCATTCACTGCCTCATGCACTCTGTTTTAACATCTTCCCATGAAGGCACTTTCCTTGCCGAAGGGCGAGAGCACTACAAAGACGAAGGCTGAGCTCAGGACCGAAGAGGCTGCAGAAAATCAGAGACGCAGGGCTCGCAAGGAACTCGAACTTTTTGGACAAGATCACGATCGTCCAGGAGCTTTGTCTGTAAATGAAACCTGGTGGTGTCAACAATATCTATGGTTAAAGAATCAAGGGTACTTACTTCGTTCTCGGTATGCACCGGATTGGGTGCCATCTTGGGAGGGTACCGAGCGCAATCCATTTGCTTGTGAAGATGGACGTTCTTTGCGAGTGAGAGATGTTTAGGTACTTCACCATTTGTTGGCTGACCAATGCATAGTTCGGCCAGGTCATGGACGCAACGCGTGTATCCGACGGTTTATACGTCTCACTCAAAATCGTGAAGAGGTCGCGACACCCTCATGAGGTAGAGATCGGGCAATACTTCATGTCAGAGCAACTTGCGTCGCATCCCAAAAACCATTGTGTTCCTTTTCTTGAGGTGTTATTACCACCGAACGACGAAGATAGACAATTAATTGTTATGCCGCTGCTGCTTCCTTTCGCTCGGCCGCCATTCGACACATTTGGTGAGGTGATGGAGTGCTTTAGACAACTATTTGAAGTAGGTACAACTGTCATCAGCAAATGCCTACATCGTCTCAGCGAAGTATCGTAGGGTCTCCTCTTCATGCACAATAACCATGTGGCACATCGGTGAGTGGTTTAGAGCTGTTGTTTTATGCGTTCTCTACTTACCAACAGCCAGTGATTGCATGTGGATGAACATAATGATGGACGCCAAAGACCTCCATGCTGAGCCCTATCACCCTGTTGATCCTCACATGAAGCGTAACTTCAGTGGCCATGTAAGGCATTATACTCGCACTCAGCGACCGCCGAAATACTACTTCATCGACTTTGGCTTATCACGTCAATACGATCCTCGCGAGGCCAGTCCCTTGGAGTACCCGATTTTTGGTGGGGATAAATCGGTACCAGAATTTCAAAACAATACAGATGTCCCCGTGAACCCATTCCCCACCGATGTCTACTATCTCGGGAACGTCATCAAAGAGGAATTTATGGACGTAGGTGTTTGCACGAAACTCCTTCGGTTGATTGCTTATCACCATGATCAAGACAAAAAAAGGTTTTGACTTTTTGAAACCCCTCGTAGATGACATGGTTCAGAATGATCCCAATGCGAGACCTACGATGAACGTGGTAGCCGAGCGTTTTGACTTAATGCGACAGCAGCTCAGCTCATGGAAATTACGGTCTCGTGTCATTGCGAGAGACGAAGATATCTTCGAAACTCTGTATCGCAGTGCTACCCATTGGAGGCGACGGATAGGTTTCATTGTCAAGCGTGCACCAGCCGTACCTCGCTTTGGGGAATGATCACATACCTTCTGCACTGAATTTGCAAATCTATGATGTTGGTTGACAACGAGCCGCAACTTGACAGATTTTCGATGGTAGTGCGTACTAGGGTCAATCCACAAGCTGAACTAAAATATGTACTTGTCATGTACCCTTCTGTCGTTGCTTCACCAGTGGATACTGAGGATGTATCAGTACTTTTTTTTTACCTCCAGCGCGGAGAGAGAGCTGAGATCGACATCATTTTGAGAGAACGATCGCCGAATACCGCTCCTCGCGGAGTTTGGAATGAAGGGGGGTCGCGTTAACTGCATGGCTAGTTCGTCCAATTCAACGATGGATTAAAAATGACCAACCAGAAATCACCCGTAACAATGTCTCGGAGGCTGTGAGCTCTTGTCCTTATTGGCCCGTATGAAAAGGTGTCCGAGGTACTCGCGCTCAATGACGCATCGGATGTACAGCTTCACATTACAAGAAAATAGGACCCTGCTTTAATTATGGCCAAGACCCACGCAGTAAGTAATGATTCACGATCGGTGTACAAGAGTTCTGACAGCGACGACTTTGTTTTAAAACTTTATATATAACACATCAGAGCCCGCACCAGGTCCCGTTCCCATGTCGGCGACGCTGCCTCGCGTAATGGGTAAGCACGGTAGCATGAATCTGAATCGCCTGTCACCAGTTTACTCATGATCTACAAACCTTTGCAAATGGCGTTACTACTCGTTGCTGATAGTGGTAATTACCACACAAAAGATAGTTGACAAACACCATACCAAAAACACTGATATCGAATTCGCCAGTACAACTGGGAATGTTCCTTCGCGCAAGAACCTTCCATACATTATGGAGAACAATGAAATTGACAACACGATGTCACGGATGGTCGATGCCATCACATGGGAACGGGGGGCAATCTTATCCTTTCGTGACGCTTGATTTGTACGGGTATATAACACACCTTCCAGTTCTAGTACATCAAAGCACGTAATTTTGACTATTGTGCGATTACCAGCGTCGGTTTTTTTTTACCAATGGTTGGCTAAAGGTGGACTTCCGAAAGTCTACGGCCGCATTCACGATAAGACTTTTTTGACGCTAAATTACATCGATTTATGGCATACGGGCCGGAATCATCGAGCAATTTTACAATACAGAACGAGCCATCAATTTTCTGCGACAACAAAGGCCAATTGTGAAGATTCCAACATTGTCATTGCCCGAATTAAGGCTGAGATAACTATCTGGATAATAACGGTTGAACATATGATGCATCCGGACCAGGTCTTTGGTGCTCCCCATACTAAGGATTGATCATCTCCATCCTTCTTCTCTATCGAACTATCTTGGGATGGTTATCATGATGAAATACTGCCGTTTATGCAACGTATTTTTCAGCTGATTTGAAATTTGGTTAGACAAAAAGTACTTACCAGCTCCAGAGGAGTTCGTGGCGTTGATATTCAACGTAGCGCCCGTCACATTGGAACTGCAGAGTATCATAGAACTATTGCTCGAATAATTTCCTTGCATGAAGTTACGGGGTTGGTGTTGTGCACGCCTACCAACAGCTCGGCGAGGGCGAGCGGGCTGAGGTATCTGCTGAGGTACCTGCTGAGCAACCTGGGGCCCGTGCGAGAGGATTTCTGTGGTTGATGTTGTCAGTGCCGTCAAAAAGCAATGATCAGAAATCGTACTAGCACCGGTGCAACCTGGGGAGTCGATATTCAGAGTGGGACACTTCGCAGTGGTGCCCACCATGACCATCGAGTCCACTTCACACGAGATTCCTGACGTTACTTGGGAAATTGCCTGCTTCAAGTTAGCGTATACAGGAATATGTTGGCCTGGTTAAAAATGTTTCAGAATTTAACTTTTGGATCGCAAGGTCGCTCACTTTGAGGGAGGTTAGAACGAGGGTTAACCGAAGGGACACCTGACTGAGGTTTGAAACGAGTCTTATCAGTGGGCAACGTGCCTGCTGGTGTTGTAGGAAGCGACGCTACGGTCTTGACGTTCGGTGGTTGATCTGGGTGGCTAGATTTTGTCTCTAATGCATCTCTGGCAGGTGGTGGGTTCGACTTCTGGTGGCCTCCAGGTCCACCTACACCTGTGAGTACTGAAACTTCTCCTCTCACATAAGCTACCCTACTATCATCAATCGTCCTCTACAATTTAATATCAGCACAGATCTGCAAAGAAAGAGAAGCAGGGTCGTAACCTTGACTTTGCATTTGAGGGCTCTGCAGTCACCCAATATTATATCTACATTTCTCCGTTTTGCTGTAGGTTCCCCGGTTTTATACAACCGAATTTCATGCTGAAGTCTGTAGATGATATCAGCGATAAAGAAAAATAACTCGACATAAAGGACATGCCTGTCATGTTCATTCGTGAACTCAGTCTTGTCAGCCTCTGCTAGGTATAATGGATATTCGGAGAAAAGGTCCATGACTTCAACGAGTTCCTTCTCTGCGTCTTCATGACCACGGGACTTGGTGGGGAACCTAAGAAGTGACCGAAACATGCTGAACCGAACCATGCGGGGCCGTTGGTATCATTTAGCATAGCGTATTTATGCTAGAATCGGTAGCCAAAGGACTCAGTATACAACTCAAGCCTCGCCAGGAACGCCAGCTAGAAGAGTGTTTGGCCTTGAGTTTCCCTCGCGACGATTGAAGAGCATTGAACAATAACACAGCCGCTGGAAGAAGGTTGAAGGACTGAGTCACGGTGATGCAGGCGGTTCCGGGAAGGTGTCGCCACACGCCCATAAATTAAAAATTCGCCCCCACACGTTACAGGGTTACAACGTGGACTGCTAAGCGCATGTGTTTGAAACTTTCAAATATAATATATAAAACCATTATTATGAGTCGCGAGCCCTCATCATATGTAGGGCCTGTATTCAATTGTCAAAATTCGACACACTGGGTTTATACAGCCCTCGCGGAGTAGAAGTGGACACAAATCGGACTCCATGTTTACAATTATTTGAATTGAATAATGTATCGGTTTTATAGGACGTCTTATGTAACCAGCTGGTAGACTGTTAATCGGTACTTATTCACTTGTCAAGTTGTCCGTGATGTGGATTATTAGTTTCCAACATATAGAACTTGCAATATTTTCATGCATAAGCACCACATAGCCCATCGGTATGCAATTATCTTCTTACCTCGCTGTCGATTCGTGTTTTTCTAGTGACTTCATGGATTTGAACATATTCATGATGGATCCCAAGAACTTCGATGTACCCACATCCACTGGCACATCATCCATGCTTACCCTCTAGACATTTGGACATGAAACATCGGGTGAAACATCGTTCACGTACGGATTGCCATCCGCGATGCCTTTTTATCGACTTCGGAATATCTCAACACCATCAACCTTCGGAGAGTGCTCCCCTAGAATTTCCGATTTCGGGAGGGTGATACAGGAGCGTCCCAGAGTTTCGGTTGTCTGATGAACCTTGTAACCCATTTCCGACTGACGTGTGGTATCTGGGCGTTGCTCCGCAACAACAATTACTTGAAGGTCCATTCACTCCTGGCGGTACTGTTATGACGAATGATAAGCTTATCGCGGCCTGGGTTTTATGGAACCTCTGACTTCGGAAATGTTGCAGAATGATCCTGCGCAACAATATATCAAGCATTTAGCGCATGGAAATTACGCTCCAGGGCAGTTATGAAGGAGGAATGGATTGCTGGGCGGCCTTTTCACGATGCCTTTCATTAGCTTCGCTGTCTCCGATTTTTATCGCCATATCTCCCTGCTATGCCTCTTCTCACTACGTAACTTTAGTCATACGCATTCGTAATCTTGAACCAGCTTTTTTTTTGGCTATGTATGTCGCTTGACGTACTTTGTACTCCTAAAAATGCGATACCTCATAGATCCGCTACTAGGTACAAGGAACGATTTCTCTTCATCCTATTATGGTCTGACTGCAGACTAATCTACATGTACAACACGGGTCGCTAATACATGCACAGCACTATATATATTCGTATAATACTCTCCATGCTCACATTGCCAAGCGCAAGGCTTGTGAGTATTAAAAACAACTTATTCAACTGAATCATTCAGTCAACACTTCTGAGCGTTGAGAAACGACTTGTTCGACTGAATAAATTCGGTCAATGCCGAGCTCATAACAGACAATTGCAATCAGGAGTGAACTTACTGGTGCCAGAAGCACGCAGAGACCGGATGTTGAAGGTCGGGCTGCCCGTTACCGTGCCAGGGGCGAAATACATAACACGCTCACGCTTCACGGTGTGAGCTGTCTGCGACTGGCGAGCGCCTGCGGGCGGCAGTCTCTGTGCTGGGAGCCCGAGAGATGGTCTGTCACCAGGTAATATAACAGCTAAAGGACAGATCAGTATTCCGGATTAGCGCGCCCAAAAACATGTAGCTTACTTGCTCCAGTTGCCTCCTGGGAGTCAATGTTGAATGTGGGTGACCCAACAGACGAGTCTGGGCCGAATATCATGCAGTCTGTGTCGGTGGGCGGTGCATGTAGACTTCCCCCTGTGGATACTAATTTTTATGGCGTCATTATTTAGCATGAAGGTCAAAATGTGGTGCACGTACCTGCGGAAGTGCTCGAGGTTGTTTCATGGACGGAAGAGACTGCAATATTGGACTGAGCTGGAATGGAAACTTCCAATGATGGGGTCCTATAGGATGGGTCGGGATCGATCAATGCAATAGACGATTTGCGAGATTCAGGGGTGGCTGATTTGTGGCACTCAGTTTTGAGCGACAGCAACCCTAGATAGCGCCTACCTATAGCAGCTGGAGGCACTGTCCCTCTTCTTATTTTGTCTTCTTGGTGTTTACTACACGCTCTCTGTAAACTGCTATTAAAATAGTTTTTGCTCAGAGATTAGAAAAAACAAACCTCTATCCTCAATTTCAACTTCTCACACTCGTCGAGTGCTCTGGTCAGTGTGCTATTAGGTTTGCCCTTGTTCAACTGAACACGAGCATCTGCAAGACTAGCAGCTATTAAAATGTAGTATATAATACGACATGATGCATGCACGGTACCTGGAGTATTCATCCATGAAAGATGATCGTTCCTCCTGGGTTAGCGAGTCCAAGTTGGCAGTGCAGAGTGTAAGAATAGCTTCCAGGACGCTCTCTATATCGGCGAGGACCTGCTCGCGCGAAGGATAAAAGTTCTTCCAAAAGGAAACCATGATGCAGCTCTGATAGAATCTAGTGATGTGGTGAATCTGTGGAGTATGTTGATGGGGATCTAACACATACTTCTAATTCGCCTGGTATTTCTACCCCTGCGAGACCTGACACAAACACCAGTAAGGCTAGCGTTTGGCCTCGAGTTCCCCTCGCGACATC